TCTCTCTCTCTCTCTCTCTCTCTCTCTCTCTCTCTCTCTCTCTCTCTCTCTATATATATATATATATATATATATATATATATAGAACAGAATTATCTATTTTTTGAACCATACACGGTACAATTAACCACACAGGTCAAGGTCATTTAAAGGAAAAAAAAATAACACTAAGAAGATGATTATGAATCGAAAAGTTAACACTAGGAGGAACCTTCAACCATTTAATCTTGCACTTGAATACCCATACGATGGCACACAAGTTTCCCTGTCATGGTCCTCAAAATATTAACACCAACTTCCATACAGTATTATTAATTCTAGAGGAGCATGATAGAGAATGTCACAGCAGTCAGCACATCAATTCCTCAGAGAGATTTTATTGGCTGGCTCATTATATGCAACAGTTAAATGACTGAGGATTCAAGTTTAATTGCAAACATATACCCAAAGAAGGGCGAGTTGGTTACTCGAGTATTCCAAAGCATTCGAGCAGAAGCAACAGCTAAAAAAGGCATTTAATTTTGGCGGCTCATTTGCTACTTGGTGCAGGCCATAATACCAATCATCAGCTGCAACCGACTTATCACCAATATCAATATTTAGCAAACATAGTATACAGCCTAAGAATACAAATCATAAACATGAGCAGGGAGTAATGAGTGCGTATGGCATAGACCCAATAAAATGCTGAGCAGCGTAATGGTTTAGGTTCTGGATTCAAGTGAAAACTTGGCACAAGAATCCTACTTTGCAATCTCCACCAACTGCATGCATTTGATAGGCAACATAAAGCAACAAATAGCTCCTTACCTGTACTTGGTTGACGAAAAAAGAATCAAAAGTACAAACAATTCAAAGCCTTCCTCCACCTGGGACCTTGGTGCGAGGAGAATCTAATACCCTACATGACAACTTGCCAAGTCAATAACATGCTTTGAGGTTACCGATTGGGCATCAGCATATAAGTCTACAAAATACGAGGTGATTCTAGCATCCATTCAGACACCATCGACGTGGTGACAACAAGTCCTGTATATATGTGCACGGAAAAGCCGATGTCAGGTATATATACTATATACATGAAAACATACAAAGTTACAGAAACAGAAAATAAAATTCATTACAAATACACAAGCAGTTTAATAAAATATTTATATTACAAGTAATCATAGCTTGCTCATAAGATAAAGCAAGTTGCAAAATTCAGAACCAGCAAAGAATATCCAAGGCAAAGGGAATAGATTGGAAGACAACATATTGGTTCACATACATGATGTTCAGTAAGAGCAATAAGAGATTCAAAATTACATTTTAGTCACATTAAAAGCCAACTTTTGGAACATCACAGCCTTTGATGTGAATGACAATCAAGATAACTTCATTCTTACAGTCCTTTCAGACATGCCGAAACCATCTTAAATTTTTTCCCCCCATTTTATTCTCAAATCAGGGCTGCTTTTAGTCAAGATAGTTAAGATCAGTGGCATAATAGGTAGAAGAAGACCTAATAAAATTTTATTATAAAGTTAGTGAATGATCTAATTGTTCTTAGTTTAAGTAGTAATATTGTCCCCTATACAACATAATAATGGGAAAAGATCTATTTATAGCCAACCCCAAATGGACATTATGGCTTATTGTGGTATGTTTAATGGTCAATGTTAACAACATAATTAAAACTTACCCACTAACCAATGGAATATATAACAATAAAAACAAGCCACATGTCACAACTAAATTGTTCTTTTTTCCAGTATTGAGTTTTGTGTAATATTACAAAACTAACTGAATTGAGTGTGTTCAATCTCTCTTTAGTATTTGCAGTAAAGTCTTCTTGAACCTCCACTAGCTCTCTTCACACTACTAATTCTATTCAATTAACATCTTCTGATCATAATATCTGAAGAATTTACAGAAGGTAGACTCCAATAATAAGACTCTTAAAACATTACAATGAAAGTCCCATACAAATTGCCTCTTAAGTGACCTAAAAGCACTATCATCATGGACATCTTGTTCAGGATTCATGAAGTGCACAGATGGGCAGAAAAAATGTAAATTTTGCAATTGGCCAAGTAGAACCGTGATAATTTCAACTAGCTTTACAACTAATTTAAAGGACCAAAGGAGTACATCAAGTTAATTCAAAGTAAGAAAAAACAAAAGTGTCAAAGAATCCCATACTTGATTTACAGGATGTCTTCTTGTCATTCACCATGAAAAGGTAAGACCAGTAACTGTTACAGATCACCTGCAGTATATAGTCTGATCAATCTGCGGAGGAATCTGTTTTATTTCTGTGCCAAGTTCTTGCTCAATCCTATACCTGTCATCAGGCAATTTTTGTGTCAAGAAAATGATGAGGAGAAAATAAAAAATATGTACTAGCATCTTGAGGATTGGTAAGTGATCATACAAGTTAAAGCGATCCTCATAGGTGATAAGATTGACAGCTAAACCAAGGTGACCAAATCTGCCTGAACGACCAACCTGAAATTGTCCAACATCACCTGTTATTCTTGGGAAGTTTATTTCAAAATTAACCTTTTGTTTCTAGGATTGGTCACAGAAAAATTTAGACAGCACAAGCATGTAGCCAAGCAGAAAATAAAAAATCATGCTGATCAATTCAATTGAGATCTGCTAGGAGAAGCAAACTCAAGGCAATGATCCACCGAACTAGCAAAGTTGCTTAGTTTTCATTATTTTGGATTGGTAGCTCACTTAAATTTCTTATTTTTTTCTTTCCTGAAGTGGTGATGGACTGACTATTCAGTGAGCAGTTCAAGTTGGCTGATATGTCCCAATGATCAACAAACACAATTAACAATATTAACAGAAACACTAATGTGTCAAGTGTGTCAAGATCATACCCTGTGCAGATATGTCTCAGAATTCTTTGGAAAATCAAAATTGATGACAACATTAACAGCTTGAATATCGATTCCCCTTGTAAACAGATCTGCAAAGATAGGCAAATAAATGTCACAAGGAATGAAGGCATTTTAGTAGTGATGACACATAAAATGACAACATAAACAATTTGGCGTACACACACACACACACACACACATAAACATCAACTTAATGAAACATGAATTAACACAGACATGCTTCAGTTTTTGTAACAAGTTGTGATATGTACAGGTTGCAACTTTTGGAGTCTTGCATTGCGGAATACTGAGATATGGTGAGTTGATAGCAAGTTCCAAGCAACAACACAGCAAAGTGGTCTTTACTTTGCCTAGAAAGCTTCAGTGACCTAGTTATGCAAAAAAAAATCCTCTTTGCATGTTAACAAGGGCAACAATGGTCCATCTAGATATCAACAGTGATACGATCACCTTAAGAGATGGGAGGTGCTCAGCAAGTCAGTTTAAACACTCACAGAGTCTGTTTAATCTGGTTGTTCAGTCGATGTCCACCAAGTTTTCCAACAACCATAGACTATGCCATGTTTCTCCTTTGCTTCCTGCATCAAACAAGTCGACAATTTCCTCAAACAGAGTTGTTTATCAATGGAAAACACCCGCTCTTTGAGATGGTGAGTCGATAGCAGGTTCCAAGGAACATCACAGCAAAGTGGTCCTTTCTGTGCCTAGACAGCTTCAGTGGCATAGTTATGCAAAGGCAATCCTCTTTGCATGTTAACAGGGTCCACAATGGTCCATCTAGATATCAACAATGTTATGAAACCTTAGTAGCTGGGCGGCGCTTGGCAAATCAGTTTAAGCACTCCAGAGTCTGTTTAATCTGGTTGTTCAGTCAACGTCTACCAAGTTTTTCAATAACCTATGGACTAATCTATTGTGTGTGCCATGTCTCTTTTGCTCCATGACTTAAAATAAGTTGACAATTTCCTCAAAACAGAGTTGGCTATCAATGGAAAACACACACACACACACTCTCTCTCTCTCCGGTTCACCTTCTTTTTTCACCTTTTCAGTCCTGGTAAACAAGATAGTATTGCTAAAAGTCTGAGATATTCTTTTCCTCCCTTGTATGTCAAGTTCAAATAAAGACAACCTTAATTTATATACTACATTGGTATATATCTATTTGACTTTCTTACTATTTATTTATCCTCAACTCCTTTGTCCTCCAACACATCACCTTTGACAAGCCACAAGAAAATTCAGGAAGTTTCTTGGACATGTTTTCTCAAATTTTGATCATCTACTATTGCCTACTATATTTAGGTCTGATGGAAAATAAAACAACTTAGCAATTGCCAATGGCAACAGCAAAGGTAGGAGTTTATAGAAGACAGTCTACTTGGCACCAATATGAAGAAGATATGTGATACTTACCATATGACTTATATGGTTGTGCTAGGTTAAGAAGTACAACAGGTGTATCAAAATACTGATACAAACTTCAATAGACAATAAAATGTTGTTCAACCACTAAAACATGCATGACCAGAAAAGTATGCATGGTTAGCATAGATGGGTTAAAGCACATGAAGCCCCATGTTAACCAGGCTCACAGCCACAAGGCCAGGGAGATCATGATCTTCGACAAGATATGACATCAACTGTAAACTACAGAACTACACAAGTCAAAGGCCACAAGTGTCACTGCTTGTGTAAGAACTGTATTCTTCAGTAAAGAAACAAAGTTGCCAACATAGTTCTAACTGGTAAAACTAGAGGTCTACACGATTGATTAACAACTAAAAATACTCAAAACAACAGATATTGTACCTGTACAAACAAGATTCCTGCATGCACCATTGCGGAAGTCATGGAAGACACGATTCCTGTGATCTTGCAACATTTTAGCATGGATGTAAAAGCAAGAATAACCAAGCTCAGTGATTTTCTTTGCTAATAGCTCCACCCGGTTAACCGAGTTACAGAAAATAATGGATTGGTTAATTTGAAGCTGTCAAACAAAATAAAACCAATTCTCAGAACTATGGTGAACATTATCAATAGAGAAGTACTCTTAATTGAAGACAAACCTTTGAGAACAGTGTATTAAGGCAGTGAACCTTCTGCCTTTCCTCAACAAAAGCATAGTATTGTGTTATTCCCTTCAGTGTGAGTTCATCCATTAGATTGATGATATATGGTTTTGGAAGGTATCTGTCTTTAAAATCCTTCACCGTTACAGGGAATGTAGCCGAAAACATTAAAATCTGCCTATTGGCAGGAAGAAACTGAATAAGCTGTTCTATCGATGGTTGAAACTCAGGAGAGAGAAGCTTGTCAGCCTGTGAAGTGAGAAAATGTGCACTTTCCATCAGAAAAGAATATGTAGAAGGAAAAAGAATTAATAAAAATTGATTCTACAAATGTCACACAATATCCTCAGAAGCCAGAAGAAGTCATTAATGATTAAAACTGTATGTGACTCTGGCTTGTAAAATCAAATCAGATGAGTAGAGTTGGCTGAAGCTGTAACCTTATATAACAACAAACAATCCTTCCTACATAATTATATGGGACAACATGAGTAACAAAACATACAAAACACGATCTTTGCCATTATAACAAAAAATAAGTTGTTTTAACAATCAAAATGTAATCAATGTTCAACCTCCCATAAGAAACTAAATGCCAATGTTTCTATTTTCCCCTGCTCAACAAAAGGGGAAGAAGCAAAGCATATGTTTCCATAGGGTTAGGCAATCTTCACAAACAGATTCAACACAAGTGACAGCGCACTAGATTCTCGAACTAGAGGAAATCAAAGAAAAAAAGGAGAGGAAGAAATACAATTGTCATGATATTACAAGAATCAGAGATGAGAGAGATATGCCTGAGAACCCTAAAATATTTTAGGAAAAAATTTGTAATTTGCAACAAAATATGTTGCTTAAGTATAGGATTTCTAATACAATGTACTAACCACAAAGACCACATAAAAATCCCAATAAAAATAAAAGAGCTGGACTAAGAAAATATTACCTCATCCATAACAAGCATCGAACAATCCTTCAAAACACAAACACCTTTCTTTGCAAGATCAAGTATTCGACCAGGTGTTCCAGCAAGCAAGTGGACAGGTTGATATAAACGCATAATATCATCCTTCAAGCTGGTTCCTCCAGTGGTTACCATAACCTGAATCTTCAAATGTTTTCCTAGTTCCTTACAAACTTGTGATGTCTGAAGTGCTAACTCTCTTGTAGGAACCAATATGACAACTGAACATAAACAATTCATAGATCATCAGGTACAGAAAATAAGCCATGATACTCTTACTTTCAGAATATAAAATTCACAGGAATATGTTATGTGTGTTGTCTTCTTCATAAAAACTGCAATCTAGATCAAGAATGACATGTTAGATGTTATGTACATTAGATTTGCATGAGAAGTCTTAGTAGAAATGATGACCTTCATGAGGAAGAGATATCAAATTCAAAAGTATGATAGTCAAGAGAACCCCATGCATGGTCTTTGTGACAAAGAAGCAACAACCAACAAGTACAATAGATCAAATTTAAATAAAATCTTTAACACAGAGGAGAAACATCTGCAATAAAAATATAAGAGTAATGAGAAACCTTGAATGGCATTGTGATCTTGGTCAATTTTTTCAAGTGCAGGAATACAAAATGCAGCTGTCTTCCCAGTCCCATTTTTGGCTCTGGCAAGAATGTCACTGCCAGTGAGTGCTATAGGAATGCTTTCTTCTTGAATAGGTGAAGGCTTTTCAAAACCCTTCTCATATATCCCCATAAGAAGTTCCCGCTTTAGAAAATAGTCTTCAAATTCATTTCCTTTTGTTGCAGTCACATCCTGGCAAATACCAGTCCAACATTTTTATGCATCACAAAAAAAGGTATTTGCTAGCCAATAGACACTACTCCAAGTAATTATAATATGATCATGTTCTACTTAATTGACAGATGAAGATTGTTACAACTTTACAGAAAGTGTTTCTTTAACAATTAAAGCAATGGAAAATGAGTGTGACCATAAAACTTTACAATATTCCTATAATCATTATAAAACAAGGAAAGCAATCATATATTTTATGTTGTGATGATATATTAAATCTTGAAAAAAAGAAACTACTATACATTATGACAAATATTTTATAATACATAAACTTAATAACATAATATTATAGATACAAGAGTACACAATATCCTTGTGAATATAAATGTTATAATAAGTAGTCATGTTTTATAATAGATAAAAAGATCAATCAATCAACATCCTTAACCTATTTATTCTCATGGAAAATCAAAATACAAAACAGCACTTTCACAAATAATAATGGCTTTTGGTTGAAATTCTTTAGTAGACAATTAATTTCTTCAATCACAACTAACTTCTTAAAGGCAGAATTATTCCCTTATCCTATTCATAAAAAGGCGTAATAATTTACCTCTGTCTTGTAGCGTGTATCAGGAGGTGGCATCTTCAACTGTGCTTTCCAATCCTGTAAACTGAAACCATCAAGGTCAAAATTAATTTTTACAAAGCACCAATATATGTTAACCAAATTTGCAATGTAAGATATTTGTGTCTCAAGTACACTGAAAAAGCTAACATGAAAAATATGACAAATCAATCACATAAATATTAAGTTCCCAGTAATGTAGATATTTTTTTGATGCATCTTTTCAAGATATTAAACAAGCTGGAATCAGGAGATAATTTGTTTTAGACGCAACAAATACTCATCATCATGCCGAATTGCTGTACATATAACAAGAAAAATTTCTCATTGTTCTAAACAACACAATGAATGCAGGCCAAGTATTAATCCAACATCAAAGACTGCCAGAAGGTTGCCACAAATTAACCCATAAAATCACTGTCACTTAAATACTCAATATTGGTTTCTTCTGCCACGCCTCTACTATTTTACTTGAAATACAAAAAGGTGTCTTAAGGCAGTGATTTTCTCCCAAAGAATTCACTGGATCCATTAAATTTAAATTTATAATATATCATAAATATCTTTCCATTTAACTCCATCAAATAATTGAATGCATGCACTGGCATTCTCAGGAAATGCATGCAATTGACTCCCTCAAATTACTGAATCATGTGTTGGCATTCTCCGTCCTCTGTCAAATTTATAATCAAAGGAAACAGAAAGTAAGGCTGCTTGTTTCACTAGAAATGTAAAGCAATTCTAAACTTGACTTGTTGAACACGGTTACATGTAATGTAAGTCCAGATCAAGTGTGACTGTTGGTAAAAAGATCAGCATTCAGACTGAAGTTCCAGTGACTTAACTTTAATAAAGTTGCAGAAGGGAATGTGGGGTTGGTTTAGTTGAACTAAATCTAATTAGTTTAGTCTGATTTAATTTATTATATTTGAGTATGTGGTGTAGGCTTCACATTGGCAGGAAATATGAGATTATGTGCCACATATAGGAAAAAAAAAAGCCAAAGCCAAAGCCTAAGGACTTTTCTGAAGGTGAATTTCACTTCCACCTTTACTGTACCAGAAGAGTTGGGCACCACTTTAACAGAACAAAATGCCCCTCAGTGAACCAATTGGTCAAAATGCCAATGAATTTAGACAGGTCCTTTGAGCTGAAGGAGAGTACTTCAGACCCATCCCAGCATAGCTTATGTCCTACACTGCTGAGAATGATATTGTTTCTCCTTTCAAGCACCAAAAGGTCAATATGTTAGCAAAAACCCAGAAGGATAATGCCATCAACTAATGTTAAAAAGATAAGTGTATGCCTCATATGGAAGAAAAAGAAAGAGTTAAAATAGAAGACAAAGACTGAAAGAAAAGGAAGTGAATTTCTAGGCATAAGAAAGAGTTCCTTATGGAAATAAGGGTTTCTCCCTTGTAGCTCTGGAGATCTCTCAAGTAATGGAAGATTAAAAAAAAAGGGGCTAGAACAAACAACTTCCGTCTACCAAGGATATTGACTTTAACAGTCGGGTTTTCGAACATCCCTAACTTGCAAAATTACCACCGAACAACAAACACAGTAGTACATCCTTCTGTCAAGTGTTAACTTAATGCAAAACATGACGTACATTTGCGGTCAAACAGTGGGCAAAACTTTACCGTTTTCCCAAGGATTGGTGACCATTAAACAAGAGATGGTTCTACGTTGACCAAAGAAATTGCACTCGTTAACTAAAACAATTATCCAAAAACTAATTCATCCCATTCTCCTAGTTCCAAATACGCAATAAGAAACGGACTCGAAGAGAACCAACACTGCGAGAAGGTAAAAGACAAAATTACGACAAACTAAAACCCACAATGTCACGCAAAGATCCTTCCTTACGTTTTACCTGGTGTCAGAGGTCTCAGGTTGAACTGATTTCACTACTTCGCCAGAGCCAGAATCGCCTCCTAACTGATTCCTTCTCGACCATTGTTGCTGCTGGAAGTGCTGGTTCGGCTGGACTTGCACCGGATTTCGCTGCACATACTGCTGTTGCTGTTGCTGGTGGTGGTGTTGGTGGTGAGAGTTCCTCGAATAGAAACCAGGGTTTGTGCTCGCGCTACCCCCTCGGCCGTTGCCCATTCCGGGGGGAGGATATCTACCCCGAGGGTTCATCTCAGGCACCAAAAACGATTCTCCTACGGGACGATCGGTGAACGAGAGCAAAAGAAATCGTAGCGTAGTCCCTGGGAAAAGCAGAGTTGCCGATGAAGAAGGGCATAGAAAGCAAGTAGGAAAGCTAAGATCAAAGCTAGGGTTACTAGATCGGAAAGAAAACGGAAAGAATCTAAGCGAAACGGGTAGAGATTGGACCGATTCCGAGCCGATCGGGAGGACGTCTGCAGCTTTACAGCGGAAGAAGCTTTAACGTTCGAGGGATTACTCCGACACGGACGAAGCGTCAAGAAAATTGGCAGAAGGGAGGGACGCGATTGGAGAAGAGAGAGAGAGAGAGAGAGAGAGGGCTTTTTTCCGTCCTTGCAAAAATTGATCTTTTGTTCTTAGGGCAACGACATGGAATGGAATTACCGTGAAGCCCTCGAGTATATAACAACAATAAACGTGGAATATTAAGGTATCCAAAAGTGTTATTTGGTTAGACTTAAATCACCTTATTAATCTTTTCTCGAGTGACGGGATCTTTCAAATTCAGAACCCGGTTCAATTTGTGATTCGGTTGAATGGGATGTATAAGTCTGTGCGGGCTGATTCGGTTCAGATTCAGAACCCGGTTCAATTTGTGATTCGATATGGGTGTGGGGACTCTATCGATGCCTTCTTGTCTTACTCCGGTCAATTAAAATAAGTGGCTTGTGCCCAATTAAGAGGCTTAGGTAAGGAAACGATCCTAAGCTTATTTTCTTTTGGGATTAAGGAAATTAATTTTACGTGAAATGAGTCTATTTTAGCCCTTCTTTAAATGCTCGATAAAGAATATTTACTGGACTAATTTTTGAGGAAAAAAAAACTCTTAATTTTGCATATTTTTCATAAAATTTCTAAATTAGAAATTGAATAATTCAGAAAATATCAAAAAAATTTCTAAATATTAAGAAATATCCAATTCAAAGATTTCATAGAAGTTTCAAAAGATTTGGACCTATGCGTTACACTATTTTTTATTTGACCTCAAAAGATTAGATTAGTGTATCTATCTTATATTAAGAAATATTTTTTGTGAACCAAATTTTTATCACAAAATGTGGACCTATTTAGAAGCTCAGATACAAAAAAGCATTGCATGGATTAATCTTTTGAAGAAAATAAAAAAAAATGATACATTGTTCAAATTTAAATAATTCAGAAAAATAACTAATTTTTTTTTCTAAATTAGAAAACAGTGACATCTGTCCATGTGGATATAATTCAAATATTTTTAAAAAATTTAAATGATTTATACTAGCCTTTATATGTGATATACTATTTTTGATTTGATCCCAAAAATAGTATATCACATATTAAAAAATATTTTCTTTAGATCAAATTTTTATCATAGAATGTGGACTTATTTACAAGCTTAAATGTCAAAAAAAGCATTGCACGACCCAATTATGATTTGGTGAAAATGAAAAAAACTTGAAGAAAATAAAAAATAACATATTATTCGGTTGTTAAATAATTTTCAAAAATCAAAATGATTTCTTAAATTAGAACAATAGTGACATATGTCTATCTACATCTAATTCAAAGATTTTAAAAAATTTAAATGATTTGGACCAATTAATGTATGTGATATACTATTTTTTTATTTGACTTTGAAATTAGTGTATCATATATTAAAAAATATTTTCTCTTGATCAATTTTTTATCACAAAATGTGGGTCTATTTAGAAACTCAAATGTCAAAGAATATTACATGGATCCATGATATTTTGGTGGAAATAAAAAAACTTAAAGAGAATAAAAAAAAGACACATTTATTCATATACTGACTAATTCAAAAAAATCTATAAATTAGAAAAATAGTGGCATATGTCCATCTAGGTCTAGTTTAAAGATTTTATAATAATTTTAAATGATTTAGATTAGTCCTGATATATGACATATTTTTTTCAATTTGACTTAAAAAATAATGTATGGCATATTAGGAAATATTTTCTATGAACTAAATTTTAACTATATAATGTGGATCTATTTAGAAGCTCAAATCTAAAAAAATATTGCATGGATCCATCATAACTTGATGAAAATAGAAAAAACATAGAGAAAATAGGAAAATGACACACTGTTAAGTTGCTAAATAATTCTAAAAAATTTACTAAATTAGAAAAATAGTGACATATGTCCATCTTGGTCCAATTTAGAAATTTCATAAAAATTTTAAATAATTTGAACAAATCATGATATATGATACATTATTTTTTAATTAACCTCTAAAATAGTGTATCATATATTAAAAAATATTTTTTCTCAACCAAATTTTTACCATAGAATTATGCTATAATTGTTGATAATAATATGTGAGATACAGCTATGTCAGGGATAATCAGAAAATGCTCAAATAATGTATATCTTATAATATCCAACTGACACTACCTAGGTGATAGTGAGAAAATAGATCCATCAATGGAAATATAAATAATATTGAGAAAATAGGAAAACAACACACTAATAAGATGTTGAAATATTTAAAACATCTAAAAATTCTCTATATTAGAAAAATTGAGATAAAAGTGCATCTAGTTGTAATGTAATACTTTCATGAAAGTTTCAAAAATTCGATACATTATTTTTGGTTTAACTCGAAAATAGTGTATCGTATACTAAGACTTGTAATTTCTATATAAAACTTTTATCCTAGGTTGTCAACCTATTTAAAATGTCAAATATTAGAAAATATTATATGAATCCATCTTAATTAAGTGGAAATAGAAAAAAAAACAAAGAGAAAATTAGGACGATGACACACTATTTAAATACTAAAAAAAATTAAAAAAATGTCAAAAAAAGTTTCTAAATTAAAAAATTAGTAACTTATGTCCATCTCGGTCCGATTCAATGCTTTCATAAAAACTTATAATGATTTGGATCAGTACATATATGCGATAAACTGTGTTTGGTCAAACCCCAAAAATAGTATATCATATACCATGACTTATATTTCCCGTACAACTTTTAAAAGATATGTTGTGGACTTATTTAAAGGTCAAATATCAAAAAAAATTTCCATGGATCTATCTTAATTCAATGAAAATAGAAAAAATAAGGAGAAAATAAAAAAAAATGACACACTGTTCATATATTGAAAAATATAAAAAAGAATATCAACTTTTCTGTAAATTAAAAAATAATGATTTATGTCCATCCAAGTCCAAATTCAAGCTTTTATGAAAATATCAAATGATTTGGAGCCGTCCTCGTACGGGATACACTGTTTTTTTAGCTTAACCCCAAAAACAATATATCATCTAATAGGACTTGTATATTTTGTATAAATTTTTTACCTAGGTTGTTCACCTATTTAGAATGTCAAATGTCAAAAATATTACATGGAACCATCTTAATTCAGTGGATATATTAAAAACAAGGAGAACATAGGAAAATAATATATTGTTCAAATGGTTATAAAAACAAAACATAAAAAATCTATAAATTAAAAATACCGTGACATATGTCCAATTGGGTTGGGTCTAACTGAAAGGTTACATAAAAAATTTCAAATGATTTGGACTAGTTTTAATATACAATATATTAGAATAGTTTTAATATACAATATACCAAGACTTGTAAAAAAAATGACATATTATTCAAATGTAGAAAATATCTTTAAAACTTTTCAAATTAGAAAAATTGATATTGAAGTCATAATGTTGTAATACAATGCTTTGAAAGTTTCAAATGATTTAAACCAATCCTGATAGACCCCAAAAATAGAGAGTATCGTATACGTTGTGGAAAGGTGAAACGATGTACAATGTACAAACTAATTAAATCAATTTTTTTCCCCAATTTAAATCTATGTGAACCCAACTGATTATACAATGATATTTTTGTTATTTATAAAATAAAAACACCTGAAAAAAATTTAAAATTCAAAAAGTATCAAAAAGTAAAAGACTTTTTTTAAAAAAAAAATTCGTCCATATTTATTTTTGTAATTGTATACCGCTCATATATATATATTGGTGACAGAAACAAACACACATCGCATAAAAGGCCGATATTGAGATAGAGATTTTCTTTAGCCTTACCTTTTATATCGCACCGAGATTTGTCAATTGGGTTACGTTTCGGCACATCTTTGGCATCTTCATGCACAGGTTCGTGGATAACATTTACGACACAAACAACTCATTTACGTGATTAAAGCAAATTGTAATGAGTTGGTCGACGGATGCAAGCTCATGATTGTAACAGATGTTCGTCACATGTTAGAATCTTATTAGATTAGTAAGGCTTTTAGCATCGACATGAAAAAAATACTGCGTGCTGAATATTTAAGTTTCAAAACTTCTTACATATGATATTTCTTTATTTGGAAAAAGCGGGGGGCCGAGAAAACGAACAGCCCCACAAAATGGCTGCATCCGCTGACAATGGCCACTTCATTTCTCTTGAACAAGAGGGCTGTAAACGGGGTACCACATATTGCGAGCTACATACTCCACTGTCTCTTCCTGGGATAATACACAGCAAAGGCACTTTTAAAACCATCTCAATTGCAAGTCCCAACTATCCATTTACCACTCTTGAAACCAAATACTTGACCAAAAAAAAACATAACATCTATTCAATAATTCTTAGAAAAGAAGCATCTTCGTACCTTTGACATGTGCGAGAGCTCCTTGAGATCCACTTTACCATGCCCTTCGGCAAGGCCTTCAGCAACAGCTGTGCATACCACAGCTGCCCCAACTTGCATCGTAATATGCCTTATACTGGATCAGGATATTATAGGTAAATGTCATTGCAGGATATTTGTAGCGGAAAAAACTGGCTAGTAAAAGGGCAAAACTAAATATGTTAAATGTTGAGTTGGATTAAGTAGAGAAAGTATCAGAATGTTTTTGTTTTTGTACAAGCATTATCATGCGTGCTCCTTGAACGTCAGTTGATACTTTGCACGCCATGAATGTAACTGTAATTTTTTGACTCTTTTGATATGCACACTTTACCTAGAGATAGAAGGGAAGATGACTCCTTGTTGGATATCTTCATCTGTGATATATGACGCAAGGCTGTTTTAAGCAACAATAAGTCAGATATTTTAGTTAGAAAAACTAAGATTGAATCAAATCTAAAAACTGAATGACATGTGATGATAGAAATTTTACATCAGGCCTGTATAACTCAGCCGTGTACAAACTAGAGTAATTAACATAATCAACAAAAGGAGAATCCAGTAAGCGAGCACCCATGACAAAAAGTTGTGAGGAAGTTCAAAAGTGTGCAGACTTTTCCAGTAACATGGAGAATAAGTTTTCATGCTGAAGGCGATGAATGTTGAACATCCATTCAAATAATAATGCACCTACATCTCAATCACCAAATATCAATTATAAGCAAACTTTTCTTGGTAGTTAGAGTTAAAAGAGCATCGCTGAACTACCACAGTACCATCCGTAAAAGTTTACAAACCATAGAATTTGTCTATTAACCAATATGCTTACTACTCAAGTCAAAGTATTTGACTATTTTCTAGTTATATCAAATCCAAAGAGTGAACCAACAAGGCTCCCATCTTCCAGAGTATTGCACTATTTTCTAGTTAAACAAAGTCCACCTCAAGAAATTGAATGAAATGCCTTATCACGTGACCTACCCAATTTAACGTGTTCTTCAGATGCAGCATGGAATAAGCAGTTTGTTTTTATTATGAGTTCCTGTCCAGTCATGACTTACCATTCAGATGCAGCTTGAAGCATCCCATCTGAAATAATATGAGCACCTGAAAGAAGAGCGCCTAAACCAATCCTGAAAATTTCTCTCTCATTAGTTATACTTCTCTAATCTTGATGTAAACTAAGACTTTCATCAGAGAATCATACCCAGGAAACAGATACATATTATTTGCTTGGTTGACATAGCCTACTTTACCATTTCCTGAAATTTAAAAAACAACGTAAGAAACAAAGAATCATATGCATCCTAAAAAAATATAGAATTACACAAAAAAAGAGAGTGCTAACCTAAATCTACATTATCAAAAGGGCTTCCACTAGCAAAAATTATATTATCTCCGGAATACTTGAATGCATCCTTGGGAGTGCATTCAGCTGCTCATCATAAAGACAAAACAGAAGATATGCTCTTTAGCCAGAGAATAATTTTTTGCCAAAGTAATTTTTAAATACTGTGTCAGGCTTAGAAACATAACCATTCATTGTGGGATTTGACATAGCAAATATTGCAGGGCGAGAGGCATCAGAATCTTGCATAGCCCTAAGCACCTAAAAGAAAAGTATGTATCAGTTGAATATCATCAAATACTCGATAAATTACACAGTTTCATTCACAAACTAAAGCTTGATAACAATCAGGATTGGTGATAATCATGAAAATCATACAAACAGTCTATTGAGATCACCAGAGTAGGACATCAATTAAGAATGAGAATAACTTAAGGACTGTCAAGCTAATCATGTCATATAGTTGGCAAAACATACCCCACAGTTTTTTGTACATGATTCACCATATTGTCACGGCCTTAGCTGGAATTGCCAAAGGCGTGATGCACCCTTGCAGCCAAGACGCGAACTTAGCTTGCATTGCCTAAGTTGCGAGGCACCCTTGCGGCAAAGACGCAAACTTAGCTTGCGTTGCCTAAGTCGCGCTTCGCCCTTGCGATATTGCTTGTTCGAACTTACATTTTTACAAGCAAAATGACTCAAAACCAAGGCAAAACAGGCTGCCAAGTAGCTATACATGTAGATGAGAGAGACGAACGGCTCGTTGAACGGAGTTATTGCGGGTGCGCGACGACCGTTCGTGACAATATGTTTAGCTTCCAGTGCTAAGTTGGCAAAACTTACCCCACATTTTCTAGTGTCATGTATTGACCTTACTTTTCTGCTATATCATTTTGGACAAAAGCATATGCAAAAACATCCCCCTTAACTTTTCCTCTGTTTTTTATTTTTTTCATATTATTTTACTTTGTTTTCTGAAAAGCTAATCAAATGATTTAATGTGGTCATCCCTATCCTGAATTCTAGTACTAGTTCCAATATCTCATACTTGGTTTGGCAACAGAGAATTCCATTATGAGATGTCAATCAATAATTCAGCATAATTTTATGAATACCCATGAAAAATGACATCAAACCACACATGATGCAAATCAATAGTAAAAACAAATAAGTGCAAAAGAGAAACTTGCCACACGACCTCAAAGGCACATTTGTTCAGGAAAATCCAAGGTTCGTAATTTCGTATCGTACGAGTGTTTCGAGCTTTGCTCGATACAGTACAAGCGTACCGAGCGGTATGCTAGGGTGTACGACTCGATATGTATGTATGTATGTATATATGTATGTCGCGTCAGACGAGGACGTCGCCTCCTTTTCTTCTCCTCGTCGCGTTAGACGAGGAGAAGACCGATCTTCTCCTCATCTGCGGCGTTTGACGAAGGTGTTAAAGGTCACAGACGCCTCCAACCGTCGGCGAAGAACGCGGTAAAGGCCATAGGCATCTCCGGCCTTCGGCGAAGAACGCAGCAAAGAAGAAGCCGAGCCACTGCCTCCCTGTTACCTTCTGGATCAGGATTATCGAGGGAGGGCGACGCCGGATCGAAAAGTGTTAAGGTTCTCCCGATTCTCCCTCTTCTTCGAGCGTCTTCTCCCTCTTTTTCCTCGACGCTTCTTCTTCCCTCGCCGCAGCCAGGTTGATACCGTCTGGTAGCGGGTGGTATCATTCGAAATTAAAATCCTTGGGAAAATCTACACCTTTCTAAGCACCACATGTAAGCTTATCCCATCAGCAAAAGATACTGCAGAACTCCAGCAACTTAAAAAGAGTCTAGACAAATACAAAAATGCGAGGTTTTGAAGGAGACACAAATTAGCCCCATAATCCAATAGAGTAAAACCTTGCATGCCTAATGTGGTAAAGGCTTCATCAGTTTATCGCACGACACTGAGCTCGAATCCCACCTACGCTACTTATCCTATGCAATAAAAAAAATGAAAAGAAAAGAAAGATAATGATCATTCCATGAGGTACTATAACATTTTGGTTTGGTAGGTCCACTATGATGTCTGTACCTAGTATGACTTTTAAAATACCTCTTCTTGAGAAAGTCTTACTATTTTAGGCCCCATTTCTACTCACTATTATCTCAGGATCAATTCGTACAAGATTGTAATCAATAGAAACTATATTTTGGAAGACAAGATACCTACGAGTCTTTAGGTTCTGATTCTGTTCACCTAAAATTTCTCCATGGATAAAAATATATTAGAAGCAAAACAAATTTTGACCAGAAAAATACTCTTAAAATGCATCATGGTCAATATTCCTAGATGATAGATCTGAATCATTAATTTTTAATAATAAAATACAATGAAATTATGTTGTGATCTTGTAGAACATTTTTTGATGCATTGCATATAGTTTCTAATAAATACGAGAAAAGGTACTTAGTATTTATGCATTGTATAGAGTTTCTAGTAAATAAGAGAGATGGTACTTAATAGAGCACAAAAATGAATTTATTCTTTCCAGTGATTTGAAAAGGCGCCCGAGCGCTCACCTAAGGGCTCGAACAAGGCGAGGCTCGAGAGCCTCGCACAATTGCCGAGCGACGCGCTTCAGTGAAGCATTGCTTGGGCGCTCGTCTAAACCCAAGCGATGGGTGCCTCAAGTGAGTGCCCAATTGAAGGCGAGTAATCAAATCAAATGGTCAACTCTAATTCGACTGAACAGTAACTTAGTTGGTTCGATCGAACCAACTAAGCATAGTAAAAAGTAATAGTAGGGCTTTGTTGACTGCTTCTTTGTGTTGCAGGGCGTCTTTAAGCTCCCAACTAGCTTCTGTTCGGGGAAGCTTTCGCCACTTCACTAAGTACTCGATCTGCTTTGCTCCGTTGTGTAGCTTTGTCTTGCGATCCGCTAAAATGGTTTCAACTCGCTTATTATAGGAGGCTCTGGTGGAGGTAGCTGAGTTGGAAGACCTCAGGAAGCATCTTACGTATCTGAGTAGTAGGTTTTCAAGTTGCTTGTGTGGAAGACATTGTGAATTTTGAACCACGCCAACAGTTGCAACTTGTAGAAAACATTACCTACCCTGTTAATAATTGGGAAGGGTCCTTCATACTTCCGCACTAATTCCTTGTGCACTTTATTTCTAAAGAACTGGAGTGATACTGGTTGGAGCTTTACTAACACCAAGTCACCAACTTTAAACTCCTGTGGTCGCCTTCCCAAATCTGCCCACTTCTTCATCTTTTTAGTCGCCTTCTCCAACTAAGCCCAAGCACTATCTACATTTCGATACCATTTCTTAACAAAGTGATATGTTGACAAACTACTCCCAATATAACCGATCACTAAGGTGTGATGAGTCAACGACTGCTATCCCGTAATGATCTCAAAGGGGCTCTTGTTGGATGCAGAGCTCTATTGTAAGTTGTAGAATAATTAGACTATGTCCAACAACTTCACCAATCTCATTGGTTGGCACTCACGTAGTGGAGAATTGGAGTGGAGGATTGTGGAGAAGTATAACTTAAATCCCAGCAATTTGAATAGCTTGGTCCAGAATCGTCTTAAGAACCGTGTCTCGATTGCGGATGATATTATGCAGGACTTCCCAATACTTCACCACATTCTTCATCATCAACTTAGCCATCTCCGTTGAGCAGAGTAGGGGTGCAACAATGAATGTTGCATATTTTTAAAACCAATCAACCACCATGAGTATCAATCCGAATCTCCCTACTACCGGCAAGCTTGATATGAAGTTCAAAGAAATGCTCTCCCACAACTTTTCTGGTATGGGCAACTCCATAAGTCCCACCAACTTATGTTGCTCTACCTTATCTTGCTGGCAAGTAAGGCACGTCCGAACATATTCCTCCACATCGGTCCCCATCTTCGGCCAATCGAAGGCCCTCTCTACGAGTGCCAACATTTCGTGAATACCCGGATGTCTTGCCCAAAGGGAATCGTGACACTTTCAAAAGTTCACACCTTAAATTGTCCGCTCGACGAATAAAAACCCTATTCCCTTTGGTGTAGAAGAGTCCCTCTTAGACCCAAAATCATTATGCCTTGCCCTATTTGATCAGTTATATCAGGATTACTGTCTGGGGATCACCATACAATCCATCCTTGATCCTGGAAAGAAAGTTGGAGTGTAGCTGACTTGCTTGGCCTCCGCCTTCCAATTGCATGGCATTCGCTAGCTCCACTTTCCTGCTCAATGCATCAACCATAACATTTGCTCTTTCGAGCTTTTATTTCATCAACATATCAAATTCAGCTAGGAAGTCCTACCATTATGTTTACTTTAGAGAGAGTTTCTTTTAAGTTTGGAAGTTGCTCAACGCGATGTTGTCCGTCCTTAGCACAAAACACATTCCAAGAAGGTAGTGCCGCTAAACTCATAGACAGTGGACCACCGCTGTAATCTCTTTCTCGTGCACCGGATACTACCGCTCAGTCTCGTTAAGCTTGCGACTCTCGTAGGCCACCGAGTGACCTTCCTACATAAGCACTCCCCCAATAACGTTCGAAGCATTTGCATAGACATCAAAAGGCTTCTCATAGTTCAGCAATTGAAGTACCGGTTCTTCCAACTCAGCAGCCTTTAGGTCTTGGAATGTCGTTTTACATTTGTTTGACCATCGCCAAGGCTGCTCCTTCAGCAACTTCGTCAATGGAGCTACACGCTTCGAGTACCTAGCTATGAAGCGTCGATAACCAAGGAAGAATATCAACTTCGGTACCTTCTTTGGTGTTCGCCACTCCGCCACACCCTGTACCTTCGATTTGTCCATCCGAATGGAACCTTCACCAATTCGATGCCCTAAAAATAAAATGTGTCTGAGCAAAGTAGCACTTCTCCCTTTTCACGAACAAAGTGTTCTCCCTGAGAACCTTGAAAATTGTTTGAAAGTGCTCGACATGCTCTTCGAGCGTTTGGTTGTAAACGACGATATCGTCCAAGTAGATGACCATAAACTTGTCCAGATACTCCTTGAATAGTTGGTTCATGAGAGTGCAGAATGTGGCCGGACCTATTTAGAACTAAAACTATTGTCAAGTGTCAACTACTATTACCATATAATAAACTAAAACTAATATTAATCCTTAACACCATTGACCTATTTAGCAAGGTTCGATGTACCGCACCGTACCGGCGTTTCGACCCGAGCTCGGTACGGTACCGGTGTGCTGGGCGGTACATCAAGGCGTACCGAATAATTTTTTATTTTTTTTTCATACTATAGCAGTGCTAAAGTATAGTACTGTAGCACTGTAGCAGTACCGGGCGATCCGCGTACCGGTAACCTGTCGGACCGGTACGAGCGGTACACTTCGATACGACAGACCTTGCTATTTAGAACTAATTCTAATTTAAAATTACTAATCTTTATTTAGCATTATTAATCACTATTTAGAATTGTTATTAGTCCCTATTTAACACTATTAATCTCTAGTTATTTAGAACTATTATTGGGATTTCAGGATTAATGGCAAGTGTACAAAGCTATTCAGAAGATTCATCAAAAAATTCAAGAAAGGATCCTGCTTGGAAATACGATTATCTAAAGGATCATAAAGATCCTAATACAATTGCATCTTGTGTGAGAAGACCATAGAGGTGGCATATAGTGCAAAGCAATATCAAGTAAGGAACTTCAAGAATGCATTAGTATGCAAGAAGTGTCCACCTAATGTAAAAGAAGAATTGCTGGCTTGTATAATTGAAAAAAAGACAAAAGAACAAATCTTATGGGATTTTACCAAAGGATGATGTTCAACATATTAAAGATGATGAAAAAGAAGTTTATTCGGAATGTGTCAATGCCAGTAGGAAGAGTATAAATAAAAAAGGAAATGAAGTCCAAATTATTAAGAAGAATAAAAAGGGACAGATGAACTTATATATATATATATATATATCAAGGATCATAGAAGCAATAAGATCAAACAGGAGCAAAATTAAGGCAAACAAATATAAGTGATACTTGTGACAAATATGGTGATCAGATTATTACCTAGCAGGCAGTACACATCACTATGATCAGTATTTAAATCCTTGGTTCCACCTATATGTTTTAGATAAGTAAAGGTGTAAACCATCATGATAGGAGTACAAAAACATGCCATGGGTAATTCACTATCAACTTTATTTATGTCAATCAAACCATGCTCAAGTCTGCTCTATTCAGAAACCAAGTGAAACTCCAACAAGTAAATGGTGCCAACAAATAACTCCTACATGTTTAAGCTTCTATCTCCTGCTCTTTTGTATATTTTTATCAAAAAGTTTCATGTTATGTTAGACATGGATAGATGTAATCCCCGGACAATAGACAAAATGTCTCAACATGATCATGACTCAGTGCTGATACAATGATGATGACCAGATCCCTGAGAATAGTTATGATCGGGTGATATAGCAAGTCATTGCAAGACCAAACAGACCAGATTTTCATCAGCATCATGCATATCAAAGAAAAAATGCTATAGTACAATTTCATCATCAGCATTTTTTATTAAAATACATTCAACATACCTCCTCATTAAAGATACCACCTACTCCTGACAAACCTAAAAGCACATGGGGCTTCACTTTTTTGACCTACAATAATGATCCGTTAACATTAGACAGTATCTAATAATAATCAAAATTAGTATATTACAAGCTGTTTATATTAATTAAGTTAGCAAAATTAAAATGCTTGCATATTAGAAACAAGTCTAGCTGAATATTATCATCTTCCACAATATTATGTAAGCCATGCAGCCAAGCGTAGGACAGAGTACAAGATGAGACTCATCAATAACTTACTACTTCCAGTAGACTAGCACCTTCTGTGAGTCCCTCAGCTTCTTCTGGACCATAGCCTCGAGCAAAAGGAGCAGCAGCAGGATCAATGTCCTTCCTGTACTTTGTAATGAGACCCTATAGAGAGGGTTTAAATTGAAATTCAATATATACCTTCTGAAGATAATTCCTTATCAAATCATAAATGGATAATGGCCGTAATATAAAGAGCCAAGCTTTAGGCCACTAAATCTTAGAACTTTAATTTGATAAAAATGCAACCTACAAACTGATTTCACATAAAATATAAATAAATTAAGATAAATTCATTTCTAGCAGTATATTCACATGATATTCAGAGTAGGATTTATAAAATAATCTTTGGAAGATAATAAATCACTGTCATAAGTCAGAATTTTTCAGGATATAAATGTTATCCTATACATCATAGTTGAATACATTGACTGGATAGAATTTTTCTCTAAATTTAAGTTTATCCTAAAAGGTTTGACTCTGCAAGTTGCCAAGCCAGAAGGATCTTCAGAAGGCGATTGAAAGTGAGAAATGGTGAGACAAATAAGAATGAAAAAGTTCAAAGGCTTGCTTTGTGGATATATTCAAGCCCTGGATAATGGCTTTCAAAAACTAACATGTAAAGAAATATAAGTGATCTCACCATTCAACAATTTGATTCAACTTAATAAGAGTAGTTTTAACTTTTAAGTAGGCCAAAAATTTTGTACATGCAAGCAGTGATTCATTTACATCAGAAGCTCTGCTACAAGGTGTCTGTTTCTACTTTGAGTTTAAACCTCATGTAGCTGGCTAATAATCTAATCCTTTTTTTCATGTGAAATGTTTACCCTGTCAAGATAAACTAAAACAAAAGCTAATCAATTTTCTAAGACAATGTCAACTGGATTAGAGGGTAAACTCATCAACAACAAAAAATTGGAAATGCATTTACAGAATTAACAATACAATCAGCATGCAGTTAAGAAACTATAACAGAACCAGACATTTTTGTCAAGCAGCCAGAACTGGTTTGCTTCCACATTTCCACTGCTTCCACACATTCTAGAAATAGCCTTTTTAGCCATGTTGAGCACACCTATTCCTGCACTGCAGATGAAAGACGGTTAACGTCAGATGATGAAAGAATATGCTATAGAAACATAATATCTTGATGCCATGCCCAAGCAAGCATCAGGCATAGCATGAAAAGTACAGGTAAGATGGCATCAAACTGGATATGGTATGGATTGGATCAGAGTAAGCAAAGTGCTAACTGAATTCAAACATGAAAAATCAGGATTTTTTCTCTCTTTTACTAAACAACATATTGATCTCATTGCACAATGGTCAACTCAATGCTCTGATACACCAGGAAGTTCTTCAACAGGAAGGTCTTCAACAGTCATTATTTCTATCCAACTGGTTATACTTGTTCATCCTAACATGCATAAGACATTCGTCTGAAATAAAATCTTTATCAGGAACACATCACTTGTGGTAACTATTAACATCTATTTAAGAGCAAATGCAATCATCAGATTTCTTACATACCTTCCAGCTCCTACCACAACAATCTTTTGCTTCACAAAGTCCTTCAGAGGTCGTCCCTGTGATCTAACAGCACCAAGTAGTCCAGCTAGAGCAACACCAGCAGTTCCCTGATTAATGTACGCATTTGGCATAAAGAAAATTGTCAGTACACCTCTTCTAACATGATCAACCTTTGCTGCAACTTTAGAAATGTCAGACAAAAAAACAGCAAGTTAAATATAACCTGTATATCATCATTAAACATGCAAAATCTTTGACGATACCGCTGGAGAGTTTCAAATGCCCACTTCATTTGGAAGTCCTCAAACTGAAATGTTGAGAACTCATCATGCAACAAAACCATCACTATAGGTTTGCTTAGGAGTATATCTTCTATATCATTCACACCTGTATGACTGCCTTTGGCCAACGTGCAAATGCAGCTTCCATAAATTCATCAACAATAGACAAGTACTCATCTCCCTCCAGCCTAGGCTGTCGCAGTCCCAAATCTAAAGAGATAGTACAGTCAAAATTTGTCAGACAGCAGGAAAGTCGATACCAAGTAACTTTCATCTAACCCATGGTGCAAAACTAAACAAGAGAATTTTTTCCAACAAAATGAATTTAAACCACTCTATGCCAGGCAGTTCGAGGCATTATAACCACGAAAGTCACTTTCTTGCTTGACAAATGAGACATGAAAATGCTAAGGTAACAATTTATGATCAAGATAGTTCTGCTGATCATAGAACATTTGTGATCCAAAACATGAAAACAAATGATCCAACAAGCCTAACAGAAAAAGGAAATGAGAAAAAAAAAGATATACATGTCATTACCTTCTCTAGCAAACTTTCGCCTACCAACATTAGTGTGTAAACTACAAACTTTAGTTGATTATATTTCATTAAACTATGGTACCCTACAAAAGATTTAGACTGTGAATATGCATAAATATCAATATATATATATATATATATATATATATATATATATATATATATATATA